GGGGGTGGGCAATGGCCAGCTCTTCCTCGCACATACTGTAAGCAGTTTTAGCCCCCTGCCCCGCCCCACCCCTTGCTCTCGATCCTCCCGTTATCATGGAGGGCAGCCGATGGGGCTCACCTGTCCCCACACAGCTCCCTGCATTCCAGACTTGACTGTTAAGAGTACTACTTGAAGGAGGGGGAGGAGGGCAGCAGGCGTGGCTGCTCCCTCCCGGATGCTTTGTCTCAGAGCAGGGCGAGGGACACTCCTGCAGAAGTTGGCTAGCTCTGGATGTGTGGCTCAGCTGCCCCCTCGCGGGGGAATTGACAGAGCCAGCACTGTTCCCAATTAATTCTGCTACTTGCTGATCATGGAGTGGGTGGGGGAGCAGCCCCATAGAGACGTGGCCCCCTGAGTGATGCTTCAGGGCTCCCGCTGCCACTGAATGGCCCCCGCAAAGTTCAGTACCACTTTGGGAAGCCTCCGTTCAGCCTTTCGTTAGGCACTTGCATCCTTTTAAAAATGAAAATCACATTTTGAGGCTCTTCATCCTTTCCCTCTGCCCCTTCCCCTCGAGAAACCCGCAGGGGATGCCCTCCTGATTTATAACACAATTAGCTCTTACTTTTTTAATGCCTCTGGGTTGGTTTTTAAATGACAGTGACCAAATGCTGGGTCCCCTTCTCTGGCTTTCCCTTTTGATTGTCACCCTGTTTATTCCGTTCACAGCTTAGGGCCCTCTTGAGGCACAAGGAGGTAGCAGAGTTGACTCCGTGAAAAGGGGAAGGTTGTGCCCTCACGTTTTGCATTGCCACCAGGAGAGATGGTCTTATTTTTAATGATGTATATTGCAGCCTCACTGCTCCGAGGACTCTGTGGGCTTCTGAGTTGGATCAAATCCCTCTTCCCTTCCCTTCCTCTCTATGTACAGCTCTCATTGTAAAATAGGTTCTTTTGAACATAATCTATGCAAAGGTTATTTTGTATAGGGGAGCACAACGTTCCCTCCCCTCCCCCACCGCAGTGGGATTGAGGGGTGGCAGTAGTTCTCTGGTTTGGGGGAAGGGGGTGCAGTTGGGGTGGAGGGGGAGGTGTTCCCATGGAGCTGTCTTTCCTACTGAAGCATGTTCAGAACTTGTACAGAAGACCGATGTAATCTTTCTTCAGAATAATGCTATGAATAAAGTGTTAAAAAAAGAAAAACCAACAGCACACCAAATGGGTCTGTAGAGTCTTTTTTTAAAAAAAGAAGACACTTCATGCTTCCTTTTCTGATTGTTTCAGTCTTCTTGGAGCAGGGATGGGGTACCTGTGGACCTCCCAATGTCTGTCTACAGTTTCCATCATCCCTGACTCTTGAGCATCCTGACTAGGGCTGATAGGAGCTGGAGTCCAGGAACTTCTGGTGCCCCACCAGTGCCCTAGAACAGAGCTTTCCAAACTCTGTGTCGCAACACATTAGTGTGTTGGCTGCAGTGTGCGGATGTGTCGTCTGAATTCTTCTGGGGCTGGAAAGGGGTTAGTTTAACCTCTGGTTTGCTAATAAAACTGAATTACTGTGTAGCGAAATAATGCATGTCTAAAAAGTGTGTCAGCAACATGAAAAGTTTGGAAAGCTCTGCCTTAGAAGATCCAATGTTTGGTTCATGCACAATATTAGACCATTGCATGAGCAAGCCTCAGGCTCTCACAGCCCCTCCCTCTGCCCTCACTTATATTCAAAAAGATAACTTCCCATTTAGTCTAAAACCAGCTTGTGTGCCATGACTGGCTTTTGAGAGGACGGGATTATCTTTTACCTCAGGGATGGGGGACCTGTGGTCTTTCAGAGATTATGGCCTCTGTCAGGGGTGACTCTTGGTCATGCTTGCAGAGGCTGACAGGAGCCAGAGGCAAGCAACACATGCAACAAATATAATTAATAGTAACAGCATTAGGAGGGCTACATCCCTGCTTTTATACACTGAGGCTCAGGACTAAAAAAATTCCAGGGTGGGAAAAATCACACTGAGCAGGTTGGCTGCTAAAAGCAGCACAGTCTTCTAGATGGCCTCTTTCAGCTCCTCTGTGAGAGCTCTCCAGTCTTCCTCCACTGTCAAGTGATGACAAGGTGGGGCACACCATTTTCTAAAAGCCATATACAGGGGTACCTCGCAAGACGAAATTAATTCGTTCAGCGAGTTTTGTCGTCTTGCGATTTTTTTCGTCTTGCGAAGCACGGTGTCGGGAAAGTTTTGGGAAAGCTTCAAAAATCACCAAAGTCTTTAAAAACCTTAAAAAAGGCTACCGCACCGCGTTCTATGAGTTGCTCCTCGAAGTCAAGTCGCAACTGTATTAACGGTGTTAAGAAAAAGGAAACAAACTTGCAAGACGTTTCCGTCTTGCGAAGCAAGCCCATAGGGAAAATCGTCTTGCGAAGCAGCTCAAAAAACAAAAAACCCTTTCGTCTAGCGAGTTTTTTGTCTTGCGAGGCATTCGTCTTGCGAGGTACCACTGTATGCAGAAGTTCAATGACTCAAAGGGGCAGGTATGGTAAAGTTAAAGGACCCCTGGACGGTTAGATCCAGTCAAGGACGACTGGGGTGTGTGCTCATCTCGCTTCAAGCCAAGGGAGCTGGCTATAGCTGTCAACTTTCAGATTTGAAAATAAGGGATCAGCAGCCTCACCTGTCCTGGGGACAGTCTACGGGATATCTAACAATTGTATTGGTTCGTGACAGAACACTGCTGGAATAAGGGAATTTCCCACAAAAAAACAGTTGCACTACAGCGGGAAACTGCTGGAATAAGGGAATTTCCCACAAAAACGGGAAGGTTGACAGCTACGGAGCTGGCATTTGTCCACATGCAGCTTTCCGGGTCATGTGGCCTGCATGACTAAACCTCTGGCACAATGGAACACCATGACGTAAACCAGAGTGCACGGAAACACTGTTTACCTTCCTGCTGCAGGGGTTCTTACTTGCGCTGTTGTGCTTTCAAAATGCTAGGTTGGCAGAAGCTGGGACAGAGCAACGGGAGCTCACCCTGTTGGGCAGATTCAAACTGCTAACCTTCTGCTCGACAAGCCCAAGAGGCTTGGTGGTTTAGACCACAGCACCACCCGCGCCCCTCACAGGGCATCCATCCTTATTTATTTTGTACTCTGGGTGAGGCATCCTCTTTGGTGCAAGAGCATTCATACCAAAAGGAATGTTTTTTTGGGCTCTAACAGTGTTGATAGGGGTGAGGAAACTTAGGCATAGGGACCAAATGCAGTCCTCCAAGCCACTTGCCAAGCCTGTGGGACAATCCTTGGACTTTACCCCTCATTGACTCTGCTTTGCACCCCCTAAGTCTCTGACTGGCTGGAGTGTGTCCTCTGACTCTTAATGTCTCTTGATCGCTGGGGGAGAGAAGTCGCTCCCTCTTGGTTTTATACCTTTCAGGGAGCGGGGATTAATAGGGAGGCCTGTACTACCGCCACATGTTGGTGGAGAAGAGCTAGTTCCTTGCTATTGCAACATCTAGGTTTTTTTATCTAATCTGGAAAGTACCATGAGCAAGAATAGATTATCAAGGAGCCAGAAATGGGCCCAGGCAAGTCTAAACAAGGGCACGCCTCCGCTGAGGCACGGGGCAATTGCACAAAAGTTCCCACTGCCAGGCAATGCCACAAACAACGGGGGACCAGTTTGGTCACATTTTTGTAGCCAGCATCAGGAATGACACCTTCCGAAGCCAACAGTAACCAAGAGTAAACAATGAGTCAGTTGAAATATGACTTCCCGTTAACACTTTTTAGACCTTTTGATTCATTTTTGGCATATCCCTTTTCCATACAACAGTGTTTTGTGAAAAAGCAAGCGGCTGCATTCCTCTGAAACACACAGCCCACTTTGGGGCTAATATATGAGTGGCTGTAGAAATGAGAACCACCCTGGCAGTGGCCAAATGGGTACAGGTAATGCTAGAAAACAAGTCCTTAATTTAAACATACAGTCAAATCTCGGTTCCCAAATGTCTCCGTTTTGGAACGTTTCGGGTCCTGAACGCCGAAACCTGAAAGTAACTGCTCTGGTTTTCAAACTATTTTTGGAAGCCAAACAGTTTCTGATCCACATTTTTCATTTTTTCCCCCTTGACTGCAGCCAGCCCATTGATCCTCGGTTTTCGAACTTTTCGGAAGCTGAACAGTCTTCCGGAACGGGTTAAGTTTGAAAACCGAAGTTCCACTGTAGTTCCTCTGTGCTACAGTTGCTTAATTGTAATTACAATACTACAACTTTTAAAGGAAACATTTGTTCTTTTGGCAGGGGGTAGTGAGAGGGCTGGATGGGTCAGCCTTTCTTTTCTTACGCCCCTTTTGTCTTCTAAAAAGTGCCTTCAGGGGATCAAAATGTGAAATCTTGCAGAATCCAAGAGTTAAATCTGTACTTGGAAGTTAATGCAAAGTTCTCAGTTACGGTGAAATGAGATTCCTGTGTTATTTCAAAACCTACATGTGTAAACCAGCAGGTGCAAGCATTCTAGAGTTCTACAGTTTGGTTCTTAGCCATATTTACATGAGAGCAGAACTGGAGGCTGAGCTCACTTGAGCCTCAGAGCATGATGTGCTAGGCCTCAGACCTGAGGCATCTGAAGGACTGGCAAAGAAGAGTTGGAAAAGAGTCCATTTTGCTACTGAGGCACTGCATTCAGCTTTGCTATCTCTGTTAGGATAAAAGTTGGGGGGGGGACCAAAAAAACACCTGTGAAGGCTACAGTAAGTGTGTCCCACACTATATAGCTCTAAAATTGAAGTCAATGGGGCTAGACAACCAATATGTGGATGCAATATTGTATCGCCCCCTCTCTTCTTTTTTGGAAGCACTTAAAAGTCATAAAAATCTAGTTGTGATAGGTGTAAAAGTTAGGGGCGAAGGAACCCACAGTGCTAACTCATGCCACTACATCCCTCCCTTTCCCAGAGACTGTGGATAATAATAATAATAATAATAATAATAATAATAATAATAATAATAATAATAATAATTTATTTATACCCCGCCCATCTGGCTGGGTTTCCCCAGCCACTCTGGGCGGCTCCCAGCAGGTAATTTTGCCTACCTTGCCATTTCAGCCTGATCTCCCTTCAGCAGCTGAGGAGACCGCCCCTAGATTGCCTGCATTAATTGAAATTCCTGCTCTTAGGTTTCCCTGAACCGCAACCCAGTTAAGCTGAAGCACTAGCCTGTAGACAAAGAGGGAAGCAGAGTATGATCTCAGGAGGAATTGCAACCTGCATACCTGAGTCAGGTCCAACAACAGTGACCTCACCCAATAAAGAGTCTGGGACCCAGCCCAAAAAAGGTATAACCAAACAAACTGGGAGCTGCCAGGTGTGTATAAAAGTGTTTCTGAGAGGTGAGCTCCCAGCCTGCGGATGTTGGATTATTCTCAACATTTCTTCCTTCAGAAGAGCTGTACTGAAGACTGAGGAACTGAGACTTATATAAAGAGGATCACACCCTTTTGGCTTCAGGTTAATTAATTCTTGGGCGTTGCTACCTTATCATTTCTATAACACTTTCAGCTTGTGAAATATGTTTCTTTAAATTCCATGTTTCCTTTCGCAGTGGTGAGGTAGGGCGATAATACGCCCAGGTATTTTACACAAAGGAAACTTGAGGCCAAGAGCGAAAGTCACTTTCTCAGTGCTGTACAGAGAATTCACAGAAGAGGTGGGGTTTCAAACTCTCCATTAGCTATTTCAAGCTCCTGGCTTGGAATTTAGAAGCACAAATGTGGACTCAGATCATCACTGATCGTGGTGATAATTGAAACAGCAGAGAGAAAAGAGCAGGCAACTTTGTGTGTGCCAGTTGCTATGGAAGGAGAGCAGGAGCTCAAAAATGGGACCATTCAGCAAGATGCTGCAGAGACCATCGTGATGATCCCAGCAGACACCCAGGAGAAGGACATGCCTGCCAAGCCCCCTTCTTTTCATAAGCACAGACTGCGCAGTCTGGCCATATTTAGCATCATCTGTGGCTGCTCTTGCATCGGAGTCCTAGCACTGATCTATGCAACCAAGGTGAGTTACCTGCTGCTTTGACAAGGGATGCAGGTGGGTGGGACAAGGGATGCCCTTCCCCAAATGAATGAAAGTACAGTGCAGTATTTGGACCAGTTTCCTTTTTAGGAAAAAGAATTCCTGGAGGCTTAGGGAGGGGAAGCGGTTTCGATATTGATCATACTCAGAGCAGAGCCATTTAAATTAGTGAACATGGCAAACTTGGATCCATTAAGTTCACTAGGTCCACTGTGAGTACACTTTGGTTAGAGAAAACCTTGTGCCTTTACAAACGTATTTACTGATCAGACGAAAATCCCTTGGGATCTTAACAGTTTCTGCCATTCTCTTGCCTTCCTTTCCAGATAAATAACTGTAGCTGTGCCTCCTGTGTCCTTGCAAGTGTGCTTTTTAAACAAAAACAAAATGGGCCCACAGATTGGCAGTTACAGGACAAATGGGCAGCTCAAAAATTCAAGGCATGCCAAAGTTATATTATGTTACGCGATGTAAAAGGTGACTGAGAACCAGTGATGTAGTATATCCAGGGTTGTCATGTCAATAAAACAAAGTGATAGATCCACATAATAAATGGGGTGTGTGAGAGAGAGATGTTTCCTGAGCACAGTATTGCAGTCGTGGGCAGGAGCCACCTCACTGCCCCACCCAGGCCAATATTTACTGCCTTTGAAGCTCCCACACATTCTTGTCACATGGTGAAACTGCAGCGAATGCTCTGTGAAGATGTGCAATCTGAAACCAATAAATTGTTGCATTCCATCTGGCAATGAGAGTCTGCTCCAGAGAACCCTTGGGGTTCCTCAACAAGGCCGGAGATGGTGGACGGGATTCCCTGAGAGGGCTTGCCACCACTACTGATCTTCTTCCCCTGCAATGTGTGGCCAGAAAGGGATGTTGGGGGGTGTTCTGAGCCATGCCATCCCTCTGACAGCCGAGCCACCCCACCTGGACTGTGAAAGGAGCCCTAATTCTCCAGCAAGGCAGGCATTCTGTAGCATAGGCCAGATGTTTCTGGGAGGTTGGCCCTTTGGAGTCAGCAGTATAATGGCAAATCCAGAAGTGCTGGGTCCCTTAATGAGAGTCGCAGCCATGCCCCTTCACATCCGTACGCCCCTTCTAAGATTATACAACAAGCTTAGCATTATATAGCCTTAATCTGGGTCAAGGCTACTAAGATCAAAGGTTGCAAGGAAATTTAGACCTGACCCATATCATCAAGATACACTGAGAAAGGTAAGTCCAGAGGAGGAGACCTAAAATGTAAGGATGTTTCTTTAAAATAAGTGGCATCAATAATCAGTCTCTCTTTCTTGGTTTTGTCCCATCCAGGCTAGTGAGAAGCAAAAGGCTGGTTCCCAGGTATCAGCGGCTGACTGGGCTTGGAGGTCCCGGAGATTGTCTGTCCTAAGTATCAGTGTCTGGGTGTCCCTCATCATTCTGGCGCCCGTGTCAGTGTACCTCATTTCCTACCTCTTAACTCAAGCCGAATGATGACGACCCTGAAGAACATGTGACTTGGGACTTCCAGGATCATCTTCTCCTCTGGTTCCCACATACTTGCCCAGCTGGATTTAGCAGAAATGGGTATTATGTGGGTCTTTGTTATGTGCACCCTGGTCTGGTGAACTATTGTCAAAGCCTGCTTTGCGGAGGTCCTAGAAGAGAGGCTGTAGAAATGGAACGGCTTCTGCTGCAGACGTCGGATCTCCATGGCCTGCTTCTATGGACTCACTGGGATAAAACATATATCTGGTTGGCTACAGTGGAATACAGGATGCTGGACTAGAGGGCCCTTTGCTCTGAGCTGGGAGGCGCCTCTTCTTTAAGCTCTAGCGTAGCTGGGATGTGCCTGAGTTCTTCTTGAGGCAAAGTATGTGCTCTGTCCCTATTCAGGTTTTACTCCTGCATGTAGATGCTAGGATCCACTCCCTTGGGACCGAAGGATTTTGGAAACACAGGAACATCGTTTCTGCACTGTGCTGTGTTTCTTGCTTCAACCTTTTATTTATTTAATTTATTTTCAATAAGCATTTTTTATTCTGCCCATCAATTATATACGCAAAAATACAAATAAACAGTTGCACTACAGCGATTTCATAGGGGTGGGTTGTTGTTGTGTTTGTTCCACTTGTCTCTTGGGTGGCCATTACAGGAGTAGGGCTGGAAGAAACAGATAAAACATTGGACTTGGGGTCTAGTGGCAGGAATAGTTGTGCCCCCTGCCAGATGTGGTTGAATTCCAACTATCATCAGCCCTAGTTGGGATGGCCATTGGTCAAGGATGATAGGAGTTGTAGTCCCATGGCCGGCGCAACAATGAGGTGACCTGAAGCAACCCACTTCTAGCAAGCTCCACAGAGGGCAGGAGATCCTGCCACTGCACCACCACTTATTTTCTTCCAGCTGCTGCCTCTGCCTGGCCTCGGTGGTTGGAGGTGGTTACAAATTCCCAGCACCCTTAACAAGCTATGGCTTCCATGGTTCTTTGCGGGAAGTCATCTGATTTAAAAATGCATTGACGTTGTGGGACAGATCCACGTGTGCTCTAAATGTGTGGGTCTGCCCCATCATGTCAGTGCCTATTTCCTTTACTCACATCCGCTCACGGGTAATGATCCGCTCAGAAACATGATGATGCTGAGCATGTTTAAGATGCAGCTATTCTCCAAGTGCAGGCAAGCCCATTGTGAGAGTAAGCATTCCTTTAAACATTAACTTAAAAGGAAGCGAAATTGCCTTTCTCAGTTTATGAACCCACCCTGCTTCAAACGAGGAAACAACGGCAGCACCTTGTGACGCTGTAAAAACCAGCAGATTTATGAGAAATCCAAGTCTTTAAGGTGCCACTCCAATATTATTTGTTGTTTTCTTGTTACAGAGCAAAGCAGACAATTAAAAAGGTAAATTAATGCAACATACAATATGCAGAGAAGGGCCTTCAGCCATATGTAATTGGAGGCAAGAATGGTTTGGGGGGGGGGTCAGTCAGGCTTAGCATCCTTAGCTGAGATGAAAGGTGTTAACATTCACAACTATTTTAATCGCTGATTTCTTGTTACATGCAGGCACCAAGGGAGAGGCTGCTGGTTAGAATCTGGAATTAGAAGTATAGGTATGAGGTGTGGCAGCTTTCTACATGCTACATATACAACAGCTGTGTGAGTTGTATTGCCAACTTCAGCCTCATACATGCCATACATTTTAACCAGTTAGTTTCCCTCCCAAGAATCCTGGAAATTGTAATTTACCCCTCATAGTGCCCAGCACCCTTCACAAAGTACAGTTCTCAAGATTCTTGCGGGGCAGTCATGTTGTTTGACTGTATGGTGTTGCACACAAGCCTATGTTGCCTTGTAATGCTTGATGCTGAAGTGACACTTCCATTAATGCTTAATGAAAAAGCATTAATAACAACACTTGTATAACCACTACTGGCAGATGCTGGTCAGACAACGGATATAACTGTACCTGGCATGTGTTATTTATTTATTTATTTATTTATTTACATTAAATTTGTATACCGCCCTTCATCCACAGATCTCAGGTTGGTTCACAACCTAAAAATACATGATAAAAACAACCAGCCAATAACCACCTCCCTCCCACCTTAAGAAGAGAGTGAGCGATTCTTACTGCGTGTTAAGAGATCACATCTTTGTCAGGGCAAAATTTGGGGTGGAGGAGAGGCCATGTAGCTTGATTTCGCATATGCAGAAGGAGAGGGAAAGCCTTTTGGCCCAAGGAATCCTTTTACACTTTGTGTAGCTGCCTCTGGGCGACTGGGTGTCCTGCTGGAGGGATTTTCTTCCCCTATGGATGTCAAGGGATGGAGCAATTTATTCGGTGCAGGAAACCCGAAGACCAACTGTGAAGTTGAGGTTAAAATAATGGGTCAGGGAGACACAGGTTCAAATGTGTAATCATCCATGATGAGCAGATGAGTGACTTGGGCGGGTCATTATCTGTCAGCCAGAACTCACTTCACAAGACTGTTGTGAAGAGCGGAAGAGGAGGCAGGCAGGAAATATGTGCTGCCTCGAGCTCCTTGGAGGAAAGATGGAATCATCATCATCATCATCATCATCTTGTTTTGTTCACAGCCAAACTCCTGATTTGTCCCAAACTGAAAGACACGAAAGGACCACCCAGGAGACAAGAGGCAGCAGTTTATGGAGATAATAATAAAATGCACAAATTCCCTCCTGCTCCGTAGAGAGACCCTAGTTATTTCCGTTTTGGGGGGTGTTTATTGTGTCATTGCAGGAGGGAAAGTAGTAGCTATGACCTCATCCTGACCTTTAGTATCGCGATTATGAAACCCTGAATAACCCCAATGTTCTGCTCCCGCCCACTTCCGATCGCGATTGGCCGCTGTCTTCCCCAGCCTTCGGATTCTGAGCTCCTCCCCTCAGCGATGTTGCTCAAAACGAGCAGCCGATGGGTCAACTCGCCTGTCAATAACGCGCTTCTTTTGCCCGCCCTTCCGTGGCTTTGCTCATTGGCTGAGCATTCTCCCCTCCCCTGCTGCCGTTCGGAAACAGCCGCTTCCTCTTTTAATCCCCGCCCCATATTTCTTCACCTTAGCGCTGATTGGCTACTGCCTCTGACAGGGCTCCCTCTCCATCCGTCCACTCACTGGATGCCGGCCTTCCTCCGTCTCGACACACCCTGTTTTCTCCTTTCGCCGATTGGTGCTACTGCCCGGCCGCGCCTCTGGAACGCAACGGACCAATCAGAGAGAAGAGGAGGCGGAGCCTGGGAGTCGCCGGCTGCAGGTGGGGGTCATTCACTCGCATCCAGCAACGGCGCTACCGGGTGAGGATCTCGGGGAGTCCCTCCGCGTGCGCGGGCGGGGCGGGGCGGCGTGTGGAATCCCTCTGGAGAGAGGAAGGGGAGGCGACTCGGAAGGGCTGGACCGATAGGCAAGGCTTCATTTCACCCTGGGGCTCTCATGAGCCCCGGAACCTGTTGACAGTGCTAGGCCACGGTTCTGAAATCTACGGACAGAGTGCCTCTGAGTATAAACAGAGTGCATTTCCCACCTCTGCGTGGCTCTGAATTGAGACCTGGGAAGGGGACTTCCAGGATAAACAGCATGGGTATCTTGTCTCAGCCGCTGCATAGATTATAGTATAATAGTTTAAACGTTGGTTGTTTATATAATGAACGAAGGGCTGTCTTAGTAATCCTTACACCAGTCCTTCAAGGTGGTCCAGTATTGCAGATGTTTTTAGAAGGGGAAGTCCTGGGATGGGGAAAGAATGAGGTGTATTATGGGTTTGATCTTGTAGAGATTTTGCGTTTGGCCCTGTCCAGCCCCGCATGGGGCATGTAGCCCCCAGAAGCTTGTCTAGAAGGGAATGTGGCTGAAAAAAGGTTCCCTTCAACTGTTCTTATTTGGCTATACTCTGCTTCCATGATCAGAAGCAGTGAGATCCTGAATACCAGCTGCTATAAACCACAGGATGTGCCCAGATCCTGCTTGCGGGCTTCTCATAGGCATATGGCTGGCCACTGTGAGAACAGGATGATGGCCAGATCATTGGTCCAACCCAGCAGGCTCTTTTTATTTTCCTAATTTGTATTGATACCCAGGAGATGTAATTGCAGTGTATTGTTTCAAACTCACGGTTGTAATGATCTATTTTGAAGGACTAAAGAGATATGAGAGTCATGGGGATGTAGTAGATGGCTATTGAACACACAGTGCAATCCTATGCATATTTGTTTGAAATGAAGCTCCACAGTGGCAGTCAGGATGTTTTGGATGGCAGCCGTATTGCAGAGAGATCTGAGTTCATAATCTCTGTGGGGTTTAGCATAGCTTCATCTCACAGGGTTATAAGGCAGTTGAAATGTTGGTCCCAAGTTGCTTGGAGGAAGAAATATAAGAATTGCTGCAGTATGAGGATGGAAAATAAAGGATATATGCTGCACCATTCATGCCTGACATTTGAAGAGCAATCTCCCTTAGACCAGTTCTGCAATCTACTCCCCCCTGCAGTCTTGTTGTAGTTATATCCTCAAGGCAGCAATAAACCTGTTGTTGTGGTTGTGCCAGAGCACTGATTCAGGCTTTTTGGTCTTTTTCTTCCCTGTTTGGGGAAATCTGATGCAGCCACATTGCAGTCCTCCAACTTGTTGATTTTGACTAGTTTGATGATCTAAAGGGAGGAGGCTTCATGACCTGTGATTTGTGTCGGAGGCCTTGATAACTTGATGGCTGAAATGTGTCTGATGAAATTGTCAGCTATGCCCTACCAGTGGTTACTGCCCAGTGATGACCAAGACTGGGTCATTCTCCTTTAGCTCTTCCACAACTCCCCTGAAAGTGGCATGGTAATTGGCATGTCTCTACCTGCCTCCCCTGACATCAGACATCCTTTGCCTCTTATGTTTACTGCCCTTCTTAGCTCTCCAACTTGTGTTGCATTCCTTGCATTCCACCTTCCATGTTGACCTTTCAAAATGTCTCTTCTTGGGTAGCTGGTGTTTGAAGTATTCAGCTGTCTAAATATCACTGCTGCCATCACCCTTTCCTTTCAGCTCTTGATCCAGAGCATTCCACATCTACAATAGGATGACCCGGGACGTGGGTCTAGAAGATGAGCTTCCGGACTGGGCTGGAGCCAAAGAGTTCTACCAGAAATATGACCCCAAGGATGTAATTGGCAGGTGAGGAGTGGGTCAGGATGGGGGCGGATAATCATGGATTGAATGATGTGCTGGGATGGGGACCCATTACACTGTTTCCCTCCATATATTGTTGGACTTCAGCTCCCAGCAGCCAGCATGGCCAATAATAAGGGATGATGGGAATTGTAGTCCAGAACATCTGGAGGAGTTATGGCTTTCCAACCTCTGTCCTACATTTCTTCCCCACTGTGGAGCCAATATTTTTTAGAAACTTGACGTCTCTCTTGCTGTTTGTTCATCTCTGCTCCTCTGCAGGGGTGTCAGCAGCGTGGTCCGGCGCTGCATACACAAGCAGACAGGCCAGGAGTATGCAGTGAAGATTATTGAGGTTACTCCGGAACGCATGACCCCACAGCAGCTCGAGGAAGTGCGCTTATCGACAGGCAAAGAGATTGAAATCCTGCGCCAGGTCTCTG